CCCCTTAAAGGACAAAGCAAATCAAACATGAAGCCTCTGGCCTTCTCTGGAGGCCCCACAAGGTTGTTTTGTCTTTTCAGCTGTGATCTTAGCTCAGAGAAGGTCATGTTTTGTTTTTGCCTTTTGTCTTCCTCCCCGTTCCAGTCGGTCCCAGTCTTTTGAGGTGGGGATTGCTGGGAGGTCACAATGTTGGGATTGTTTGGGATGACAGTTCCGGGAGAGCAGGGCTGAGGTCATGCGTTCAGTGTTCTGAGCAGCCCAGAACCGAAAGATGCAGACACTAGACTCATCAGTGTTTAATTGTTGGGCCTTTCTCTGCAGGTCTACTGACGCTGTTTTTTAAATGAAAAGTCTGGATATAGGATAAATGTCTGTGCTTATGAAGGTTATGGTGTCAGGTTATGGTTTGAGACCAGGATGCCCTGGAAACTCTTGAATACAGGTTCACCCTAATATCCTACCAAGGATCCTGCCAAGGATCCTAAAAGGTCCTGTAAAATATTTCTCTCATTCTTAACAATCCAGCTCACTCTTTGTGAGATCAGAATTCTTTCAAGTTTCTGGATGTGTAAACAGCAGAGTTGCTAAGAGCAGGAACTTTGGGACGAGAACTCCAGCCCCACTACTTACTAGCTCTAGAACTCTTTGTATAATTTATTTAGCCTCTCAGTTCCTCAGTGTCCTCATGTGAGAGTGTAGACAGTAGTGCCCACACCTTGTCTTATGTGTTGTCATGAGGATTAAAGAGGCCACACTTGCCTGGCATACACTGAGAACCCAGTAAATGATAGCTATTTGTGGTATGAGAAAGATCCATGTAAAAGTCAAATGTGAGGTGGGAAGCAGTATTGGTGGTTAACACATTAAAGACAGACTCACTGGTCACCAAGACGGTATTTGGCAACAGGGCAGGAGGTGACTGGGTTTTCTGAGGCATGTGGCTCCTAAAGAAAGGAAAAGGGGGGCGCCTGGGTGGCTTGGTCGGTTGAGCGTCCGACTTCGGCTCAGGTCATGATCTCACGGTCTGTGGGTTCGAGCCCCGTGTCGGGCTCTGTGCTGACAGCTCAGATCCTGGAGCCTGTTTCGGATTCTGTGTCTCCCTCTCTCTCTGCCCCTCCCCTGTTCATGCTCTGTCTCTCTCTGTCTCAAAAATAAATAAACGTTAAAAAAAAATTTTTTTTAAAAAGAAAGGAAAACGGATTTAAAAAAATAAAGTTTTGTTACAGAAAATTCTAGGCATATATTCAAGTAAAAAGGCCAGTATAAAGAACTCCCATGTACCTATTACCCAGCTTCAAAACTTGGAAATATTTTGATAAATCTGATTTCATGTATTTCCTTCCTAGACCACTGCTAACCCCCAGACATTATATAATTTCACCTGTAAGTCTTATGTATCTCTGACAGATCACATTTTAAAAATATTATCAACCTAAAAAAATAAGTCATTCCTTAAAAATCATCTAATACTGGAGTAATCATGTGTCATGGTTTGGGACAGACCAAATTTATGCTGGTGGCCAAGTGTAATTATTAGTAGCAGGGAGGATTTTAAAAGTTCTGATGGCAGGTATGTTTTCCAGCCCATCTCTCCCCTGTGTTCACTCTGCTTGTGTCTTCTCTCGTGCATACTCATACATGCTGCTTCATTTTCTCATCCCCAACCAGTTGTCTTCTCTAAAATTTATCCAAGAGACATCTGGATAAATTCCCCTGACTGGCGATATTATAGGTGTCTGAATTTGTATCATTGTTTCCCAAGGACTTGTGGCATTCTCCAGAGGTTACAGCAAAATGTCTACCAATTTTTTTTTGGTTTATATTTTAGAACTTAGAGTGAGAATCTGTTTTAGAGGAGGATGATTCAATGACAACTGACAGAATCCCAACTAAATAGGAAATTGTCAAGGACATGCAAAGCTTTGGATTTTCATTCCTTTTTTTCTCATCAAAAATCTCTGAGTGGGGGTGCCTGGCTGGTTCAGTCGGTGAAGCATGCAACTCTTGATCTATGGGTTGTGAGTTCAAGCCCCACACTGGGTGTGGAACCTACTTGAAAGAAAGAATGAATAGATGGATCCAAGGAAGGAAGGAATGCAGAATTACGATTTGTTAAAAGTAAATAAATACATAAATAAATAACATTATATAGATGTAGTAGAATCAGTAATAAACTGGAAATCAGCGTTCTGCCTCCAGTTAGCTATATGATCTCAAATGAATGTCACTCACTTTAATCCTTCCCTAAACATCGTCCCCTCTTTATCCCTCTCCCATAGTCTACCCCATTTCCCTGTTCCCATTTATCTGCATATTGATTAGCAATTGTGACTACATTCTCTCTTAGATTTTCCTGAGTTCCCTGGAAAACTCAAAGATAAGGGGGCCTCTTTTATTTACCTTTGCATCTCCAGTGCCTAGAAGGGTGTCTGGCATGTAAATGTCTATTGAATGGATACATATTTGTTAAATGGATAATTGAATGAAACACAGATGAGGCCCAATTCTCCTTACAGTTTCTCACATTTCATGATTTCTTGAGTTTGCCCAGCTAACTTACTTTGGAACAGGACACATTGAGCTAAGAAAGGTGACAATGGGACACAGGGAGAGCAATGACTAACTCACAGCCCGTAGCCCTGTATTCTCTACCCTCCTCCTCACACAGTTCTTGATCTTCTCCTCTTGCTGTGTGCTGGTTCTCAGGGCTCCCTGGAGTAGCCAGAAGTGGATTCCATCATGGCAGAACTCAAGGTGGAGACCCGAGCCAGCGTAGACTGGCAGAAGCGCTGCCTGGCCTTGGAAACCCAGCTCTTCCGGTTCCGCCTGCAGGCCAGCAAGATCAGGGAGCTGCTGGCTGACAAGGTGAGTCCTGGAGACCTAACCTCATCTCAGAGGTCTGTGTCCGCTAGGGCAGGAGTTAGGGAGAGTTAGAGAAGGTAAACTTTGTTTTTTCTAGGTATTAATTAATTTTGTTTTAATTTTTAAAAATATTTTTATTTATTTTTGAGAGAGAGAGAGAGAGAGCGCACAAACAGGGGAGGGGCAGAGAGACACGGAGACACAGGATCCAAAGCAGGCTCCAGGCTCTGAGCTGTCAGCACAAAGCCTGACACCGGGCTCGAACTCATGAACTGTGAGATCATGACCTGAGCCGAAGTCAGATGCTTAACCTACTGAGCCACCCAGGTGCCCCTTAATTAATTAATTTTTAATTGAAGTATATTTGACATATAACATTATATAATTTAAGGTACACCACATGTTAATCTGATACATTTATATTTTGCAATGTGGCTGTCTTTGTAGTGGTAATTAGCACTTTTATCACATTATGTAATTGCCATTTCTTTTTAGGGGTTAGAATAATGAAGTTCCAGTTTCCTAGCAAGTTTGATGATTATAATACAGTACTCTTGTCTGTATTCACTATACTGTGCATTAGATCCCTAGGGCCTATTTACTACTCATTGCAAGAAGGTGAACTTTTAATAAGATGTCCTCCACACATGCAGAATGAAATCTAAGATAGTTATTTCTTTTTTAAGCCCAAATCAAAGCAATTTACTAAGCTATCATCATGCATTCTCTCCTGCTCCAGAGAAATGATAGACATCTTGGTCCTCCATTACCTCTTGAGTCGTCAACTGGCTGTAGTGGAAGTTCTGTTATTCCCTTAATATTTCTTTGTCAGTGTGGGGAAGAAGGGACGATGTTTTACTGTTCACCCTGTATTAAGCAGACGAGCTATGAAAGGCAGCCTGATTTTCTAGTGACAAGGACACAGATTTTGGAGCCAGACCCACCTGGCTCTGCCACTTACTAGCTATGCTGTGTGACCCTGAGCAAGTCCCTTCACCTCTAAGGCAGGGACACAAATGTCTGCCTTTCACAGTTATTTTGAGAATTGTATCAGGTCACACATATAAAGGTTCTGGCATGGGATAGGTCCTAAATGGGAATGATTATTATCTTTACAGGTGTGGATGGGCTGGTCTGGGAAACTGACCACCATTTGTAATGTTTCTGTGGGAAGAGACAGTCTAAACACCTGACTTTCAGAGGCATTTTGGAGCATAACCTGTCTGGAGAGTAGAGTCCTGTACTAAAAAAAAAAAAATATCTATCTATCTATCTATCTATCTATCTATCTATCTATCTATCTTAGTTGAATAAACTCTTTTCTTTCTAGTTTTGCTTACATTATCCATCTCCTGAGCCAACCCTTCCTTCATAGTACAAAAGTAAAAATCAGTCCACCTCTCTCCAAGTAATGTCGAGGTCTTTATTAGTAAAGCCTGGGTAAAAGGCCTGTTTTATGATAGCCCCACAACCTGGAGTCCAGGAAGACAAGTTATTGGCATTTCCCCTGCATTTCCACTGCTGAGGGTAATGGCCCTCGACTTCCCTGGTCTAGAACTTGTGAACTTTGGGTCTGTTGGCATTGCTGTCTACTAGTTCAGGCTTTGCGAAACAGAGACCAGCAGGGTTCCTATGGATATGGTTCAGATACTGCTAAGAGAAAGGGTAGAATTCAGCCATCTCAGGTAAAGGGAAATGGGCTTTAGATAGTAGTTCTCAAAGGGTGGTCGTGGGACTATCCAGGCCAGAAATCTGGAGCACTTACTAAGCGTGTGCATTCCTGGGCCCCACTCCAGTCCTCCTGATCCAGGTATCCTGGGGATGCTGCTCATAATCTGCATGTTTTTTTTTTTAATTTTTTTTTCCAACGTTTTTATTTATTTTTGGGACAGAGAGAGACAGAGCATGAACGGGGTAGGGGCAGAGAGAGAGGGAGACACAGAATCGGAAACAGGCTCCAGGCTCTGAGCCATCAGCCCAGAGCCTGACGCGGGGCTCGAACTCACGGACCACGAGATCGTGACCTGGCTGAAGTCGGACGCTTAACCGACTGCGCCACCCAGGCGCCCCATAATCTGCATGTTTAACAAGCTCCCAGAAATTAGTTTTGTACACTGTACAGTCTGAGAACATTGCCTTAGGATATGAGACTGGGGAGGGGTAGGAGGGAAGGAAAAGATAAGTAAGGATCCTCCAGCTGGTCTAAAACACATCTCAGAGGGAAGAGACTTCTGTTTCTAGTGATAGGGACCACAAAATAACCTTTAAGAAAGACTGCTATGAAACACCTAGAAATACTGGATTAAATATTTAAAATATTTTTCTCAGTGCAGAGCCATGCACTGAGAAGAGTAGGAGGAATCCTCAGCCGGCCAAATGAAGAAGTAGAACCCAAGTGGTATTCAACTCTGACAGCTGAGTGGGACGGGCTGTGTGGCTGGCCTCCCTGTAGTAATGAAAGGTTTGAGGTTTGAGTTTTAGCATCTGTGGAGACAGAGATGAGGTCTGGTCAGTTGGAAGCTGGAGCTGAAACTGAAACTTTCATGTAAAGTCAGTACTGTCGGGGCACCTGGGTGGCTCAGTTGGTTAAGCATCTGACTCTTGACTTCAGCTTAGTCATGATCTCATGGTTCGTGGGATCAGCTGTGAGTCAGGCTCTGTGCTGATAGCACGGAGCCTGCTTGGGATTCTCTCTCTCTCTCTCTCTCTCTCTCTCTCTCTCTCTCTCAGCCCCTCCCAAGCTGACATTCTCGCTCTGTCTCTCTCTCTCAAAATAAATAAGTAAACTTAAAAAAAAATAAAGTCAGGACTGTCAAAGTAATATAAAAAGATAAGGAAAAGAAAATCATCTACCAAGACAGGGAGATGACAGAACAGTTTCTCAGACTAAGCCAAGGCTCTGGGCACAAAAAACAAAAAGCAAAAGGAAAGTACGCCCTGAGAACCTGATGATGGTATTGGTTTAATATTAGAATTTGTATTATTTGTGTGGATTAGGAACCTTAAGTTCTGGGCCAGTGATACCCCTAGGACCCTAGATACAGACACAGAACCTCTCTGGAGAAACAAAACCTCAACCCAGATTATACAGGATCCTCACAGGCAAAAAAGCCATGATAAAGATGAATATATGATCCAAAATGACTAAATACTTGAGAGAATAATTTTTACTGAGTTAGAGTCCCCATACACAACAAACAAGTAGACTAGGTCCCTCAAGAACTTCAAATAAGGAACTGTTGGCAAGTTCCTTCAATATTATTGAATATAATTGAATTCCTTCAAATTATTGAAGATGTAATGAAGTGATTGAACACACAAGGCAAGAATAAGACGCTATTCAAAAAGATTAGGTAGACTTGAAAAAGAACGAAATAGAACTGCTAGAAGCAAAAAATGTTTTCATTGTATAACTAAATGTTCAATAGATAAATTAAATGTCAGATTAGGCACCACTGAGACAAGCTTAATGAATGGAAAGGTGGACCTGAGAAAGTCATCCAGAATGGAGCCCAGAGAGATAAAGGCACGGAGACTGAGACACGGATGCTAGAATGACAAGATCCTATAAAGTTCCAGAGATGGAAAAGAGAATGAAGGAGAACATTACTCAAAGAGATAATGGTTTAAAAATTCCCAAACTTAAAAAAATATATATTTATTTTGAGAGAGAGAATGAATGTGTGCACAAGTGGGTTAGGGGCTGAGAGAGAGATGAAGAGTAAGAGAATCCCAAGCAGGCTCTGCACTGTCAGCATGGAACCCACTGTGGGGGCTTGATCCCTTGACTGTGAGATGAGGACCTGAGCTGAAATCAAGAATTGGATGCTCAACCAACTGGGCCACCCAGGCGCCTCTAAAAACTCACAAACTTGTTGAAAGATGTGAAGCCTCCAATTTGGGAAGCAGAATGAGTCTAAGCAGTATAAATTTTTTAAAAAATCCGTGCTTACTGTATTAGCTAGATTATAATTCAGCTGCTGTAAGAAAGAACCCAAGGTCACAATGGCTTAAACCCGACAGATATTTATTTCCCTCTTGTGTAACATTCCAGACATGAGCCGTATAATTCTAGGGTGACGTCTGCTGTAGGTTTGAAGAGGAGGGTTCACCATGATGTCCATATTCCAAACCCGTCCCTTTTAGTGGTGACCCGAAGGTTCCATTCATTGCTTCTCCTCATATCCCATTGATCAAAACTCATTCACATGGTTGTACCCAGCAGCAGGGAAGATTGGAAAGTGTAGTCTTTATTCTGGAGAACTACGTGCTCTGTTGAAAGTTGGAGGCTGTTATTTGTATGAGAGAGAGAGGAGAACAGGTACTGGGGAACATGTAGCAGTCTGTAAGTCTGAAATTTAAGTCTATAATAATGGTAATAAGTAGAAATAGAGTATATAACTTATCAGTAGAGTAGGGAAATGTAATAAAGTCTATTAAATCCAGTCTGGGAAGAAAATGAAAAGAGTATTTAAAAAAAATGGAGTAAATAGCACAAAATGCAATGGTAGAAATAAATCCAAATGTATCAGTCATAAGGAGACATATATAAGAAATCTTTTGGGGCACCTGGGTGGCTCAGTCAGTTGAGTGTCCGACTTCAGCTCAGGTCATGATCTCACGGTCTGTGAGTTCAAGCCCCGCATCGGGCTCTGTGCTGTCAGTTCAGAGCCTGCAGCCTGCTCTCTCTGCCCCTCCCCTGCTCATGCTCTGTCTCTCTGTCAAAAATAAATAAACATTAAAAAAAATTTAAAAAAAAAGAAATCTTTTTATATACAAGAATTTAGCATTGCTATATGAAAAATTGGGAATATCCTAAATGTCTTTCAACAGGGAGGTGTTTAAGTATATTGAGTGTATTTGTACAATGGAATATGACATTGCTGTTAAAAATGAATCAAGTGAGGGACGCCTGGGTGGCTCAGTCGGTTGAGCATCTGACTCTTGATTTCAGTTTGGGTCATGATTCCAGGGTCTTGGGATCTTGGGATTGAGCCCTGCAT